ATTCTAAGGTATACTTTATTATTATTGGTATCTAAATATTAGATCCTGTATCTCCGCCCACTGAGCCGCGCCCATGGAACAAGATGGTTACGAGCACATTTCATGTTACATTGTGTTCTGAGAAGCAATCTCACATTTCATTAAAAAAAAGATATTCCTGAGAAAAAAAGGGTAACTTCTTTTATATCTTGAGAACAAGGTATTTCATGTCATTCAAATTGTAACACTCCAAATATCCACCCACTATCTTTTAAATAACAAAGTGAAGAGATTTGATGTCTTTGGGGTATTCCTTAAAAAAAACTGCACCAGCCAATTACTTACGTAGGTGAATCCTGGTCCAGACTGGTTAGTAATCTCTTTTTAGAGCTGCATGTTTTATAATTCATTTATACTGGGATATGGAAAGAAGATTGCTTTTGTAGCGATTTAACACTCTGGTTTAGTGAACAGGAATGGATTTTTGCAAGGAGTAGGTTAAGTGGGTAAGAGTACATATCACAGCAATGACAGTGTGTGTAGAGATAGTCTGAGAAGAGGCAGGGAGCAATTTGGCTTGTGGTACTGAAAAAGCAAAGGCTGTACAGAGAGACAATGGATGTGACTGGGAATAGGGACACTAATGATGAGATTTATTATTTCTGGTCTTCTGAAATGTGTGTACAGCCATCATGCCTGCCCATGCCACTCTTCCTAAGAATGCATTGTATCCCATCAAGGTCTTTAGGCATGGCTAGCTTAGCTGAAGCATTCATATGTGAATAGAATGTGGCATGCTGCTGAATTTAGACAACTAAAATTATGCAAGTTGCTAGCAAAGGGTATTAGTAATACAGCTTTTGCTTTCCATCATATGTTCTGCACCATTAGGAGATTTGCTTGTAAGGTTCTGGAGCTGAATAGTCAGAATCCCAATCTTCTGTGACTACCTTTCCAATTCCAGTTGGTGAGCTAGACCAGTTAGTCAGTCCCCAATAGTGCCTTGGCATACTGTGGATTAACCTGGTGTAAATATCAGGTTGGCAGTTCTGCCACAGATGGTTGACTTGGTTTCGGTCTTAGTTCCCAGATGTGTTGTTCTGGAAGATAGCTGAACTGCAAAAAAGAATGGCCTGTGCCTCTTCCATCCTCAGGTTAATAGTCATTGCCTGGTCATTAGACAAAATATGATAAGCATCGAATTGGCCTCTCTCCAAACAGACATTGGGTACAAAGAATGAGCAGCACCTCTTGCCTAAAAATGTGTGCATGTGTTGCAACTGACCTTTCTGAACATGAAACATGCTCCGTTATATCAAAGATTTACCAGTTGGAGGTGCAGAGCTTGAGCATCCACTTGTCCCTTTGCAACATGAGAATGGTAGGTTTTTTTTACATAGAATGCACACAGTTTCAATACTGGCCCACTGTTGGAACCTGTCAGTAGTTTTTAATCTCCAATCTCTGAGTTTTGTCATGAACAACATGATGCATGTCCACTTACAAGATAGTGGAAGGACCTCTGTCGAACATGTCTGATGTTACAGACATTTGGAATTTGTAATTTATTCATAAAATAGAGTAAGTATTTATAGGTATTGGATAATGCTTACCACTTAACTGGTTAACATTAGTAAAGGTCAATATGTAGAGAAATCTCATGATTTCTGTAGTGCATAGAAGTTTTGAATGTAATTAGTAATTTTTGTGACTCACCCAAAGATGATCCTATAAGCCTTATCACAAACTGCAAAAATATTGCACCAATTCGACAAACCAAAGTAGAATATGTGTTGAAACAATTAAAAAGTTGCTTCACTCTTAATTATCAAACTGATATTTTTAAGTTACATATATTCAAATAGGGAGGGAATTTTGTGTAATTTTAAGTTATAAAATGGATTTTCATTTGTTGTGTTGACTTAAGGAGAAAAGTGCATTGGAATTCACATCAATGCAATTCAAATCCAAGTAAATTTATTTCAATCACATGATCATGAGAAATATTTTTAAACTTCAATTTAACTTGATAGAAGGTTCATAAAATGATACTGTTCATCCATGATACCATGCAGGAATAGTTTTCTGCAGCACAACTCTGAAGAAAAAAATTTCTTAAGTTATTCAGTAGGGAAATTCACCACTGCTGCATTCCATGTGGGAAGCTGTGCTGATAGGAATTTGGTCAGATTTGGGCCTCTAACAGTGTTGCGCTTATTCTGTGTCTGATCCGTTGTCCCTTTGAGCATGTTTTTCCAATGAACCATCATTTGGTGAATTTACCCTAAATTCTTCAGTTGTTCAAATATCTGTCTTGCTCACATGCTTACTATTGTGAAACTCCTTGCATGTCATTGCTACAAAGTTGAGTATGCTTTTAAGTACTTCAGTAGTTGAGACGTCCTGAGGACTTATACTTTGATACATAAATGCCATTTTATTCTTTATATGGACAGGCTAAATCATTTAAATATTACATGATATATGATTAGGTTTTACTGTTTCATTAACTCATTCACAAATTGAATTTGTCAATATTTCTTTCTTACTTTAATCTGTTCCCTATTGGGGATGCTTGCATCTTTAGTAAGATCTCAGGTAGCCTGCTTCAAAAGATCACAGATTGAGCTCTTTACCCAGTCAATAGAGTTATATTTTACTGATCTGCACTTCTTTTAAATTCAGTCCTGTATTCGGAGAATATCTCATATCTTCTCAGACCTCATATAATTATGTAGACACTGGCAATACATTATTTGTGAAATCACAGGAAAAATTACTTATTTACTGTATACAGTCTTTAGTACTGTACAGTATACTGGCACCTAAACATAGGGTCCTCTTTAAGACATTTTTTTATGAATTTGTCAGGAATAAAAATGAGTCATATAATACTTGTGAAAACAGGTACTTATACCACTGAAAACAAAATGATTCTTTATCATACGGGTATCTATCTTGAGGTAATATAATCGTGCAATATTGTCATTGTGAAATATACATTATTACTATGAAGAAATAATAAAAGGTGTACATCTCCAATGAAGAGGGGAACCTAGTCATAGAAGAAGAAATATGGCAAAAAATTATGTGCCCATTTTATTTACAAATGCATGCATGCACCCAGTGGAAGGATACTAAAAGCAAATGTGAGAACAAATACAGTAGATTGAAAATTTAAAACAGACTTTATAATCAGGAACGTTGAATATGTGGCCAAAGAGGGAATGATATTTTTGCACAAGGTGATGATAAGATCAGAATTAGATATGTTCAATACTAAGGGTGAAAAATGGCCAACCAGTTCGGGGTAAAGTTGCTGATTAAATACAGAAGATGAAGAATGAAGATAAGTTAATGCAGCCATTTTTTGTGTTGCAGGAAATTGCCTTCATAGAAAGTATAAACAAACTCGCAAAAAGCTTCTGCAACGATTGACACATTTTGATATCTACAAATATCAAAACATTAGTTGCAATTCCTTCTAATATCAAGTATTGCTGGTATCCTCTGAAAACAGCAGTATACCCTGTGATCATTGGCAGTTGTTTTTTCCAAATTTCAATAAACTTGTGGGAATGCAAAAAAATGCACTTTTTGGTGGGTGGCACAAATTAGAGCAAATGTTATTGGTAAGTAATGACATGAATACTTTGAAAATAATTGCACAGATTTGATAGTAGATAGAACAAAAAGACCTCAAGGAATCACACCATAGGTTAGGCATTTGAAAATATAAGATATACATAATTTAATTCTATAATTTTGAGGTTTGGAAATATAACAACAAAGATAATGCACAACTTCATCTAGTTATCAATTCTCGCAAGAAACTGGACATAGTACAAGACCTCAGTTTAACTTGCATCCCAGGCAAGATTTACATCTTTACAGACTTTGGTAAGCTTTCATGGGTGATTTAGAAAGTCGTTGGTTTAGTTTTGTAATTTGATTCAATAAAGCTATATTATCTTTTGTATTCTTCACATAACTAATTTCCTAATATTTAGACATTTATTATTTTGTCACTGAAAGTAACAGACATTCTTAATATCACAAAATAATACAGAATTCATTAGGGTTCCACATCTGGCTTTCGTGCGGCTGTGAAGTAGTGAAGATGGATGATAATAATGCCTTATTTATAAAACTCAAATTATTCCTGATGTGCAACATTATGGTGCAGATTAAAGATCGCATTTAAGTTAGGAATGTATTTATTAACCAGCCTGTTGCAGCTACCGCCAAGTTAGCATCTTGAAGCCAATTTGTGTTGACTTAAGTCTCCCCGCCTACATTTTCCTTTGAAACAGTTTACATGAAATGCAGTCACACGTAATGGTAAAGTAAGCTTTCTTGTTATTTTGTAATTTACAGGGGTCTGTTTTGTTGTAAATTGAAATTTTCTGCAGTTCGGAAGTGGATAACTGTCTAAGTGGTATGCATGGAGCCGGCTGAGAATCGCGTTTAGATGACAGTAGCACCATGAACCCAGCCAGTGGCGCTGCTGAAAACCGACAGCATTCTAACAACAAGAAACAGCAGCGAGCCGCTTCGCCCGCCAGGTTCCGCGATATTAACTCCAGACCCTCCATCAAGACGTCGTTTGGTGCCAAATCGGCTGCACTGAAACAGGGTTACCACCCGAGTCGGGTTTCCAACCAGGGGACTGCAAACACCAAGGAGAAAGCGAGCCGAGCCGGGACTGCTGTCCGTCCAACTGGTGCTGAAAAGGAAATCGCCGCCTCTCCCGAGGACCTCAGAAAGGTGGAGGGGTACAGCTGCCATTTCACCCAGAGCAAGAACTCGGATTTGACCGTCGCTCAGAGCGGCCGTGCGGGGACCATCCCAGATAGAGCAGCGAGGGGAAAGCCAGGGGAGCAGCAGCCTCCAGGAGGAGGAGGAGGAGGAGGAAAAGGGGAGGCGGCAGACGGAGCGGAGCAGGAAGGTGTCGGGGGCGGTTCTGGGCTCGGCCTTCAGACGGACAGTGCGGGCTTGGCGCCGCCGCCCAATGCTGCGATAATGCACACGAAGAACGCGTCGTCGGCGCCGGAGCCCGAGAGGGCGGCGTGTGGTTCTAACATGGAGGCGATGACAGAGCAGGAAAAGAGCCTGCAAGATGAGGTCGAGAAACTGCGCTCGGAAAACCTGGGCCTCAAGGTAGGGACGGCATCTGGCACATTGCAAATAGAGATTGGGGGAGGGTAGATGGGGCTTTCTGCTTGAGGATACTGATGGACAGAATCCAACAATATTACCACACTCTCAAAAACATCAGAGGATTTGTTGGGCATAGGCTTCATTCCCCGTGGGTAGAGGAACTGCAGTGTTGGCCCTGGGGCTGATGTTGACAGTTTGCATGATGTCTATTGTATTGGGAAACGCCTGCCGCAGATTTGGAAGAGGTTTGCTTTTGTGTTTATGTTTTAGTTTTGTTGTTGCGTTGATGCATTTTTTTTTTCTTTTTTTAAAAAACAAAGAAATCTTTGTTTTGGCAGACAGAGATCGAGGAGATGCGAAACGAAATGGACGAAATGAGGGATAGTTTCTACGAGGAGGACGCCTGTCAGCTGCAGGACCTCCGGCGGGAGCTCGAGCGCGCCAACAAGAACTGCCGGATCCTGCAGTACCGCCTGCGAAAGACAGAGAGGAAAAGGATGCGATTCGCCCAAACCGGCGAGATGGACAATGAGCTACTGAGAAGTCTCGAGCAGGACCTCAAGGTCAACTTACTTTCAATCTGTTGGGCGCTGTGGGGTTCCTCCAGTTACCAGTGATAACAAACAATTTCCGCAGCTTTGAGACTTTTAAGTAACTTGCATCCATTTTAACCCCGCTCTGCCTCTTTTTTTTGGTTTTATTTTCGATGAGGAGGAGGATGATGCTATTTACTGTTGTCACCACTTCCAGGTTGCCAAAGACGTGTCTGTCAGACTGCACCATGAATTGGAAAACGTGGAAGAAAAACGCACCAAAACAGAGGAGGAAAATGAAACCTTACGTCAGCAGTTGATAGAAGCTGAGATCACCAAACAAGCTTTACAGAATGAACTGGACAAGATAAAAGAGGCGAGTACAATATTGGTGACCATTTCATGGTCAAGAATAGTACAGAAGAGATTACAAGCTCAGGAATTATCTTTAATAATGTTAGTGAAAGAAGATATTCATATGACTTTGTTTCATTACGTTAAACAAGGTTTTAGGGGCCCATGAAAAGTTGACTCAATAAGTTGAGTTCAGTGTTCACTCAGAAATAATGCCAACTCATAATTCCAACATATACCAATCTTATTCAGACTTTATGTTCATTTCAAAATGTTTTTGTATGTGGAATTTAAAAGCTTAAGAATCTCTGTGTCATGTTTGGGGTTATTTTGATTTTCAGTTTTCTAAAAAATGAAGGAGGTAGAAATTTGTCCATGTGCACAGTGAATTATAAGTCAGTGGTGGGATTATCCTGCACCTGGTCTGTGCAAGCAGCTGGGAGAGAAATCTTGAAGCCTTCGAGCTTCTTTGGTGTCTGGACCCCTTGCTTCAATTCCAACCCCACCCCACCCCGCCCACCCACAATGCTTTTAATGCTTGGCAGCTTCTGTCAAGTGTTTTCACTTTGCGCTTTGGCTCCTAGAGAACAGAACAGCGCAGTACAGAAGGAAACCATTCAGCCATTAAGTTAGTGCTGTTTCTTTCTGAGAGAAATCCAGTCAGTCCTACAACCTCCCCCACCTATACCTCCATATGTATTTTGCTCTAAGATTATTCAATTTGATTTCAAATATTAATCAGTATCCTCCACAATATCATGCAAGGGATACATTCTAAATCCTAACCACTGTGTGTAAAAGCTTTTCAAGTGTTACCTCTGGTTATTTTGCCAAACAACTGAAATTGAATTGAATGTGTGTAACAACACAAATCAAATCAGCCTCTCATCCCTCTATTCACAACACAGTAACATTCAATGACCATCAAAATTGACACCAATGGTTCCTAGCCAAACTTTTTGAATAACCAGTATCATACTTAGTGAATAACTGTAATAGGCAGGTCTATAGCTTAAACAAAAGATTTAACAGTTTATTAATAATATAGTAGCTTCAGCAGGACAAAGCTAAACCACAAGCAATCTAATTCATGTCTAGGATTTAAAACTATTTTTCTTTGATTCTAGCCACCCACTGTCTAAGACAGACACAGTGAAGGGATAAACCAAAAAGAAAAATTAGATACAATTGGCCAGTTCACTTAAGCAGATTCCACATTCCATAACCTCAGAGGCACATGGATTGTATGTTATTTGCTTTTTGAAGACACCAATGCATACAACTAGCTTCCTGTAGGCTCTGGGAAGTATTCATTTAATACATATAACTGAGATTCTATTCTGTGAACTTTTAATAAGTTGATAAGCAGTAAACACTCAAACTTCCATCCGGTTGCTTTTGCAGGCTCAATCCTTCTCATTTGAACACGGTACAAAAACCAGTTTGAACTTTGGTTTCTCTTTGGTAGACTTGTTGCTTCTCTGTGAGGCCTTTGTTAAATTTTAAATGTTTGCCATCTGTTTGAAAATAATATATCTCTGGAACTGAAACATCTAGAGTGTTCTCTGAACAAGAATAAACCTGCAATCAACTTCCAGGCCCGGGCTCATAAACAAATTTCAGTTTGTTTGTTCTCCTTTTTTTCTTAAAAAAAAACTGTTACTCACAGTCCAAAGGTCACCTTTATTTTCAGCTCACAATTCACAGCTGTTGTTTCTGTTGCCTAGGTCAGTGCAGTGAAGTGTATCCAGTGTCCGGTTTTGTTCCTTCTTTAAAGACATTTTAGCAATTTGGTATAACTGAGTGGCTTGCAGAGCCTTTTCTATGTGTAGTTAGAAGTTCACCACATTGGTATGGGTCTGGAGTCACAGGTAGGCTGGATCAGGTAAAGAAGGCTGCTTTCCTTCCCTAAAGGACATTAACAATCCAGATGGGTTTTTACAATAATTAACCATGATTTCAGGGTCATTGTTAGACTTTTTAATTTTTATTTTGTCTGTTTAAACTTGTATTCTGTACGTGGAAGTCCTAGTGAGGGCTGACGTGAACTTGTTTGATTGTCACTTTTGATGCTACATGTAGGTAGCCACTCTTTCCATCATTGTAGGCATCTATGTAAAGGTCTGCTATATTATGGCATTATGATGGATATTTTTGAGATTGAATCCTTCAATCTCTCCCTCAAGTGTATGTAGCATGTTAGAAAGACTGATGGCACCTCAGATATTTCCTGCTGCTACTCCAGAATTATCCCCTTCAGTGGTATCCTCCAAGGCTCGGTATCCACATCAATTGAGCAGAGCTTAGAAGGTCCTGGATCATCCAAGATGCTGCACTGCTGTTTCTGTCTTCACCACCTGCTTTTCTTCAATTTTGATGTGAGACATCACCTGAGAACTCACTGTTTGCCTGACAGGTTCCATCAAGGTGTGTGTATCTGAGCTAATGGCTTCTTTGCATGAGTGCTGTGATGGTGCATCCTCAGAGTGAGTGACTTCCTCTGAGCAATCATCATTTTCCTCCTTCGGCAACTCCTGGGGTAGGCTTGTGGGAGATAAAATATATGATTTAGAACTGTCCAGGTAAGAAGGTGTGAAGACAACATTGTGAATCTGATCATATTTTACTGGCTGATGACATCAATTCAGCTTAAGTAAGTGCTGTTTGCCAAGACTACACAGTATCTAATTCTGTTCAGAGGCAACTGGGAGACCCTGATTTCCCTATTGCCAATGACCGGCTGTGTTGAAAGTCTGCTTATTTCCAATGCCTCTGTTGGGGTGGAATGGGCAGCCCCTGTGCTTTCTCTTGCAAGGAGAGAGAGAGTAGATATATAAGTGAGGATAATGAGTGGATGATTGTTGAGGGTCACTGAGAATGATATGTGTGTGCAATAAGATGTCCATGATGGTCCGAGAAGCTGGTTGGCGTCATACCCAACTCAACAGAGAAGGACATCACCCTGTGACCTCTTATGACACACAGCAACATCTCTGGAGAGGCATCAGTGAAGTGCAGTTGTGCCCTACAATACTATGAGTGCAATGCCACAATTTCTTCCTCTCTTGAAACACCTGGACAATGTTTAACTTTAAACCTATTACTTTAAATATTTCATCTGAAATAGGCTGAAGTGAGTTTTCATCATAGCTGCTCGTCCTAATTAGTCAGCAAACCTGAAACCAGGCACTAATGCGGTCTGATGAGAGAAACATTGGCAAATACTCTTCCCCTGATGCCAAGCATGGAAATGCCTCAGTACGTATTGTAGTTGATGTAGTCACCGTTGTTTTTGTTCAGGGTTACAGTTGTTGCATAATGCATATTTTGTGGCATTATCCTCAATTGTGTAAGCGGAAATGAAGTTTGTGCAGATGTTGCAGCAGTCAGTTACAGGCACTTGATACATTCTGGTGATATCAGATTAATTTCTGCGGCTTTTCCCAAGGATGGGGATCAAAACTTTGCACTGTGGTTTCAATATCTAGCTCTACCATAACAAGTAAGCCTCCTCTGGTGTTAAGAGCTTCCTCAGTGACAGTGTCCTTCTTGGTGTATGACTCAGGGTAGTGTTCCACCTGTCAACGGTACAGCAAAAGTGAGCCAAGCCCTTATCAGAGTTGTTGTATGCTGGCAGTGCCACACAAGCATTCCAAACTGAGGAATGCCTGCACTGTAAATGGACAGACTCTAACATGCCTGGAAAATGTTTAACTTGACCATCAGTGTCAGGAAGGCAAAAGTCATGATTTAGGAAGTTGCAATAACACCATTTATTGGCATTGAAAATGTGACAGTGGATATTGTTGGTAGCTTCACATATTAAGTTGCATAATCATCAGTGAAGTTACTTGATGTTGAAATCCACATGTATATCGCAAAGGTTATAGCTGACATATCTAGCACTCAAGATTTATTTTCATCTTCATAGAGTAAACATAGATTGTTTGATTGTAAACTCACCTACTGCTGTTCCTTATGCTGGCTTAATAATATTTTAGATTACCAAGCTTCAATCAAACTGAAAATTTAGTTCAATTTCACTTTATTGACCATATTGAAATTAATTTTGTATACATTGCTCATTAAGTAAACAGGAGTAAAATAACAAAACTAAAAATGCTATCACCAAAATCAAACTTTTTAATTAAAATGATGAAACAATTCCAATGTATTAAATAGTCGATGACTCCCATTCCTTATTCATTCATCACACTCCTGTTAAAAGTTCTTAAGGAGGGTCCAAATTAGTTTGAGAACTGATTGTTCTGCATCTGAGGGATTGTAGCCTTTTCCTTGAATGTGTTCCAACAGTATAACTGAGACATGGGGTGATTCTCATTGCTCACAGCACTACTTTTGTTAAAATTCTTCAAGAGTGGTTTTCATTGAAAAAGAACTGCTTCGTAAATACTCTCCTTGCCTCGTTCAATAATCTCTTTACCCTTAAGGAGTCGACTTTCCTGAGGCACAGTACTACGAGAGATATCCAAAGTGGATATTACTTGTAACTGTTTGGAAGAATCTCATGATTGTTGGATCTACTCAATTTTCTGAGGTAGTATAATTGTAGATGTCACTTGGTCACCAATCACACCATGGTTCCCTCAACTTCGATTAGCCATCACCGTTGATAGCTAGTTACAAAGTGATTAGCTCATTTCATTTCATTCTCTTGTGCATCTGTTGCTTAGTATTTGGTTTGGACATTTTTGTATTATGAGTATGTGTGGGGAAATTGCTTTAGTTGATCTGTATATTTAAAGAATAAATGAGCATCTGAGTAAAATCTATATTTACTGCAATTCTATACAGTAATACAATTTGCGTCTTCTGGCATGCACTGGAAATGGGCAATGATGGTAAATTAAAATGCACTTTAATAAGGAGTTTCTCATGAGAAATTAGTAACTAAGAATAGAATGTGTTTACAGTCATGTTACAGTTCTGGTTATTTCTGATCAAGGTTGCTGTTGATGTGTGGAATGATTTGAAAACTTAAGATTGAAATGCTACCTTTCT